TCAGACATGCTGAATCTAGCGAGGACCTTGTCTATGTATGTACTTTGACTGAGACCTAACAGCTTCCGTGATCTATCCCTATAGATCCTTATGCCAAGTGCATAACTGGCATCTCCCAAGTCCTTCATAGAGAAACTCTTACTCAACCACGTTTTGACGGTGGTTAAAGTAGGAATATCGTTTCCTATGAGCAGTATGTCATCAACATACAGAGCAAGGAAGACTACAGCACTCCCACTGACCTTCTTGTATACACAAGATTCATCCGAATTTCTTTCAAAACCAAAGCCGATGACAGTTTCGTGAAAGCGGATGTTCCAACTCCGTGAGGCTTGCTTCAATCCGTAGATTGATCGCTGCAACTTGCATACCTTGGTAGATTCTTCAGGAGCGCAAAACCCTTCAGGTTGTGTCATAAAGACATCCTCAAGGAGGTTTCCATTAAGGAAAGCTGTTTTGACGTCCATCTGCCAGATTTCGTAATCATGGTATGCTGCGATAGCAAGTAAGATCCGAATGGATTTAATCATGACAACTGGAGAAAAAGTTTCGTCATAGTCGATACCATGTATTTGACGATATCCTTTTGCTACCAATCGTGCCTTGAAGGTTTGCACCTTACCATCCATGTCAGCCTTCTTTTTGAAGACCCATTTGCACCCAATGGGTTTGATCCCTTCGGGTGCATCAACCAAAGTCCATACTTGGTTGGTGTACATGGAATCCATTTCGGACTGCATGGCTTGACGCCATTCCTCAGCCTCGGGACAACTGATTGCCTCGAGGTAGGTCTCCGGCTCATCCTGATCGATAAGCATTACGTCACCCTCAAAGGTTAGGAGGAATCCATACCTTTCAGGTTGTGTGCGTAACCGGTTAGACCTACTGGGTTCTTGTGTATCTTGAGCATTTTGAGGTACAACAGTTTGTTCCTCTAGCTCATGTTCCAGAACCGGCGCGGTAGTTTCTTCGGCGTCTCGAATTTCTTCGAGCTCTATCTTTCTCCCGCTAGTTGCGATGGGGAGAAATTCCTTCTCGAGGAAGACACCATTGCGAGCAACGAATACCTTCTTATCGATAGGGTGATAGAATGAATACCCTCGAGTTTCCTTTGGGTATCCCACGAAGAAACACTTATCACACTTAGCGTTAAGCTTGCCATTCGTCATAAGACGTTTGACATAAGCCTCACAGCCCCAAATCTTTAAATGTGACAGAACCGGGCATTTGCCCGTCCATAGCTTGTATGGTGTTCCTTCAACCGCCTTGGTTGGAACTCGGTTAAGAGTATAAATTGCAGTGCTCAGCGCATACCCCCAGAATGATTCTGGTAGAGTCGAATGACCCATCATAGAACGAACCATGTCAAGCAGGGTTCGATTCCTCCTTTCAAAGACACCATTCCATTGTGGAGTCCCAGGAGGTGTGAGTTGGGATAAAATCCCATGCTCTCTAAGATAGTCATCGAACTCACCACTTAAGTATTCTCCACCTCGATCGGATCGTAGTGTTTTAATACTTTTGCCAAGTTGTTTTTCAACTTCATTCCTGAATTCTTTGAACATTTCAAAGGATTCTGACTTGTGTTTCATGAGATACACATAGCCATATCTACTGAGGTCATCAGTAAAAGTGATGAAGTATGAATAACCACCTCGTGCAGTTGTATTGAAAGGCCCGCACACATCACTATGAATGAGTGCCAGAAGATCACCAGCTCTTTCACCGTGTCCGGTGAAAGGAGATTTGGTCATCTTACCCAATAAA